CCCCGATGAGCTGCACCGCCACTGGCGGTGCGATCTCAGTGGTCGGAAACGAGGGGATTGCTTTGTATCCCCTCCGTTTTTGGACTGAATACCACTACACAAGTACTCTGACCTAGATTTCGCCTTCCATTTTCGACACCTTGACTTGGTTTGTTGATCCATAGGTTTAATTTTTTGGGCACCTATACGTCAAATATTGACGCAGAAGACTTTGTCATTACTTTCTTAAATAAATTCCTTCAGGTTATGGGTCTGTACACTGCAGAAAATGTTCAGCTGGAAAAGGACATTCTGCTTCGAGCGCTAGGATGTCACAGAGATATCACAGCTCTAAAAGGGTGAGAGTATGCCATTTCTCTCGATGGATCCACTCTGCCCATCAATTTTATGATGTCAATTTGACCTGGATGGCGAGCTACTGCTTGTTTATACTTGTGCCAATAAAATTCACCATCTCTCCTCGCCAGAGGCTTTGAACAACTACAGAATCTAGTTTGTTTTCTCCATAAGAAGTTGTTCCTCTTTAACGCAACGCCTAACCGACTCCCGGGTTCATTTATGTGTAACGTTAACTCTGATGTGTTTATCCTTGAAAAATGGGCAAATGTTTGTGGGTCCCTAGTTTAGTGGCCAAGCACAGTCTATTTGTGGATCCAAGTCCGCGTCGGCTGAAGGCAAAAGGCTCTGTCCCAAGACTCAGCACACTTGCGACAAGAGCCCATCGTGGAATGCTGCAGAACCAGTGCTTATTCAACAAAATCCAGCTGACTCGTTTAGCTGTTTATTCTATTTTATGTATTAGGTTGTCTCATAAGTAGTGTCGCTTTTTTTCAACCCAAAAATTTTCATCTATCCTCATTCTTTTACATCTGTTGTATACCATTCGAAAGAGAATCGTCTGCTCTACAAGATGCTATGTTCCACTTCCACCTCTGTTCCAGGGTTTTCAAATTTTAGGCCTGCGAAATGGGAGGTCCAGCCGACAAAAATTGACCAAACCGACAACTATCTCTAACTTTATCTTCCCTTGGGAGAAATCAATCAATGATGTACCCTCTACTTACACATGACCTCTTCTAAACATTACACTATTAGGTTTCCAACAAGTCGCGTCATTCCATTTCCAGACCTGGTTTTTCAACCAGAACTCGACGGTCAAGCACCATTACCTGAGATCGAGGTCGAAATTTTTTTATAGCCGAGACATTGAAAAAAGTAGAATTTAAAGAACAAGTCATGACTAAGTTAGGAATGTACGCCTGGTTGATTTTCTCATCTTCTCAAGGATAATTTTTTCAAAGAAATGCGGTCACTTTCGTGGATAAAGCACCTTACTCCTAAACACCTAAAATTCGAGCTAATTCCTAACAAACATCAAAACAAAACAAATGAGCGAATAGAGCAGAAGAAGTGCTCACAAAAGATACACCAGTTGATATAAAACAATAGCGTTTCAGAGGAAGAATTTCAATTTGAAAATTGCCATGGCTTATCGGTCGGCCAATTCGAAAAGAAACAGGGCAAACCTTTTTCGGCAACCTAAGGGTGGAATGTTCAGAAGAGGTCATGAGTAAGTAGAGGGTACATCATTGATTGATTTCTCCGCAGGGAAAATAAAGTTAGAGCTAGTTGTCGGTTTGGTCAATTTTTGTCGGCGGGACCTCCCATTTCGCAGGCCTAAAATTTGAAAACCATGGAACATAGATAGAAGATGAACACAAGCCCTTGTAGAGCAGACAATTCTCTTTCGAATGGTATATGAATCGATGTATAAGCATGGGGATTTAGATGGAAATTTTCGGTTGGAAAAAAAAAGCGACACTATTTATGAGACAAACCTAATATATGCCTCTTTCAGCGGTTATTCTAATTTTTTTTTGCATTATTTTTCATGGTTTTTCTGAACTCTAACCCACTGGACCTTTGATGTTTCATCTCAGTTATTAGGCTCAAATCTCTGGATCACTCCTCGTCTTTTTTGAAAGGAAAACTACGGAAGGCTTCTAAGATATCTTTCCGAGTATAGCGTTACCTGCTCTGAATTCGTGGAGTTTTAGATTACTTCTGCGAGCGCTGGATCGGAATTCGTCGTTTGTTCGCCTTCAAGATGTGTCTGACGTCTTTATGGCTGTATCTGGAAATCCCGTGGGCGAGGAATTCATGTTCAACTTCCTTCTAGAGAGATGGGAAGAAATAATCGAAAGGTATCAGAAATATGTGCTCATTTTTCAATTTGTTGGCGATTTTGAAAATGATAAGGATGACTTTGAGAAGATACTAAGGCAGTAAGCTGTATTTGGCTAGTGGCGCAAAAATATGGCCACAGTATTTGGCGTCGATATTTTATTTATTGTCTTTATATGTTGTCACAATTATGATAATACTAATGAACATAGCCATAAGAAGTGGGTTTCATCTTTATTAATAATAAAACATTCATACATGGGTCTGGTAGCTGAATGTGCCCATCGCGGAGAATAGCTCCGAAAAATTGTTTAGCTAAACAAGGAGGAGCTGGAGGCTGTATTTTTGACTACATGTACGCAACGATTTACGTGCATAAATCGCACCAATCTCATTGAATATAGTAGTTTTGGAGAAGGTGGAGACTTTTAGGAATGTCCGAATTTTCTGATAAGCAGGAATTGAATAATGAGTCTCTGGTCATGGAGGTGACTGAGAGGGAAATGTTTGATTACAGATCAATCGGATCTCAGTGGATCAGACTTAAAGTCGTTGAGTTACTGGGAGTGTCTAGAAAACTTTTCTATGCCACGTCTTAATACTTCAATATCATCAAATTTTCATTTTCCATGTGATTTTATTCTCAGGAGATCGTTCGGAACGACGCTAATTTCAGCTTACCGTCGGAACACACTTCAGTTGAAAAAGTGATCAAGGACTGTTCTACAGGCATTCGATCCGAGCAACAAATAGAACAGGTCATTTTTCTTATCGGCGCCTCATATATTTATTTGTGAATTGTTATTTTGTGGAGACACGATTAGTCCTTTTGAAAAATTCGGATGAGGAAGAACAATATTCGAGACCATTAGACTTTGTCTTGAATAGTCAACCAGTTACTTTCAGAAAAAGGTTTAATCTGAACCATATCAAGTTAAATTCTTTGCCAATCTCCAGCTTTCTAGGCTGAGTTGAAAGCGTGTTCTTCCATCAAACGTCGGAATAATATTGGGCGTCGTATTTCTATTTTATATTTTTACCCAAGAAAACATTTTTTTTCAGCTGAGAAATCTTCACAAAAATGGCCGAAATGCTCGAGATTACGGTGCATTCGACGAGGAAATCGAACGAGCAGAGCACAAAGTCGACTGGATTAAAAAACATTTTAGGAATCTATCGGATTTCTTCAAGAAAGCTAGCACGTAGTTTTTTCACTAATTTTTTGGAGGATTCAGCTTTTTAGAAGGTTTTTTGAAACTAACCGGTTCTATTACTGCCTTCAAACCCTACACTAACCAAAGACAACTGGCAACTGATTGATTTTTAATGCCTCTCAAACACGATGGCTGATGAATTAAAAATATAATAGGACCCAAAGTTCACTTATTATATCTTGTGATTGACACTTACTTCACTTCTTCAAGCCTTACATCTTTCAACCTGTGATGAATTTCTTTTTTATGGACAGTTCTTCGACGAATTCTTTCTAACATTCGATGCTCTAACTGTTTTCACTTTTTCATTACTGTGTTACTTTTTTTCTTTGTAATTTTTTCGCCATATCGCTAGTCTCAATTATTGACTTTATCAATCACGATAAATATTCATACTTGAGAAGAGCCGGTTGGCGGTAAGTATCTC